TATGCAAACGCCCTGCTTGTCTGCCTTCCCAAATCCTCCCTCCACAGGCTGCGGATAATCCAGAACTCTGCAGCCCGTGTCCTCTCTCGCACCAAACTCTGTGACCCCATCGCCCCCACTCTCGCCCGACTCCATTGGCTCCCTATCCTTCAGAGGATCCAGTTCAAGATCCTGGTCCTCACATAAAAAGCCCTCCATGGCCTCACCCCACCCTACCTCTGTGACGTCCTAACCCCCTGGCAACCCGCCCGTTCCCTCCACTCAGCTGGCTCTGGCCTGCTCCACGTCCCCCAACCCACCCACTCCCCATTGGTGGGAGAGCCTTCAGCCACTCTGTCCCCACTTCTGGAATTCCATCCCCCAATCACTCCGCCTCGCCCCCTCCTTAGCCTCGTTCAAGTCCCGCCTCAAGACCCTCCTCTTCAAACCATGCCATCGGCCGCCTCCCTTCCCCTCCCCTCCCTTCCCCCCCCAACCCCAGCTCAGATCTGAAATGCTGTACTCTGTCCAGCGCCTTGGGATGTCCTCCCGACGTGAAAGGCACTATACAAATGTAATCTTGTTGTTGTTGTTGTGCTTAGCCGTTTAAGGCCAATGTCTTTTTATATAATAATAATAAATAGTCCTTGCATTTGATATAGCGGCATTCATATCGGGAGAACATCTCAAACTGCTTTACAGATTTACTGCAAGTATATTCGCTGTGTACTTTGTAGGCGAATGTGGAAGCCAATTTGAGAATAGGAATATCCCACAAACAACAACAGCCATGTTATCTGGGGAACTGCTGGCCTGGACCAGGAGAAACTATTTTTTATATATCAAATATGTTGAAATGACCATTATACATCAATACGACCGCTCATAACACAATACTCCTGTGAAAATACTGCACACCTTCCATGTCAGCAATATGCTGTGGCTCCATGTTTCCAAGATTGACATCACCATCCAGCTGTTCAAATGTCCAAAGCATTTGATAACCTTAAAAGAGATAGGCACTTTGAATTTTGTATTTTTCCCTCAATATAGATAATAATATTAATACTCCTTTCATTTGAAATGGCGCCTTATATCTCATATATGCACTATCTAAGGTTTTTACTGGTGCTGTGTCTTTCTCCATGTGACCATTTTTCATTGATTTTTAAATTGTGGAATCTACTATTTTTGTTGACTCCTTATCCATGCTTTTATCACATCCAAGCTTGATTATGCCAACTCTCTGCTTGCTGGACTTCTCAACTCTTCCCGCCACAAGCTACAAATCATTCAGTAGCTTGTGTCCTTTATCGGTTCTGCAAGCCCATTACCCCCATCCTCGCTCAGCTTCACTGGCTCCCCACCCCCAGATGATTGAGTTCAAAATCCTCGTACTCACTTTTAAATCCCTCTGTGGCATTGCATCACTCTACCTCTGTGAACTTCTAAAACTCTAACAACCTGCCAGCTCCCTCCGTACAGGCCTGCTGCACAACCCACACCCTGCCCGACTCATCATCGGTGGTCAAACTTCAGCCTTTCTGCCCCCACACTCTGGAACTCCATCCTGGAATTTCAAGATCCACCTCAAGACCTTCCTCTTTAATCACACCTTCAGTCATCTTTCCACCCCACCCCTCCCAAAGCCAACCCCAAGCTTGGGCGCAACCCCCCAACATTTCAGCATCTTGGGACGTCCTTCCGATGTAAAAGGTCCTTTATAAATTTGCAATTTGTTTTTGTTGTTATTGACTTCTGTAATCTAGAGTAGCTACAGTCAAGTTTAGCTCCTGCAGATACATTACAATGGCAAGTGTAATACCATATACAATAATCTGATTTGATGCTACAATGTAAGAAGAACGTTCCTTCACAGTTGAGCCAAACTATTTCTGTGCAGATTTGACACAAAAGTGAATTGATGCTACAAATGTACTGGAGTTCAGTTGTCACTGTGACAAAGTAAATCTCACCTCAGGCAGTGGTTTCGCTCTGAACTTTTGCACTGCTGAGCATGATTGCAGATGTAATTTAGTCTTTGCTGAAGAAATCACCCTTTAAAATTTTTAGTTGATCATTGGACAGAACTAAGAACTTCAGATCCTATGATCCTAACCTCTGGAAATGCCTCCATCTACCTCTCCTATCCCCCGCCACCCCTTTCTTATCTTTAAGTTCAGTATCAAACCTACTACTCCATATGTACCCACAGACACCTCCCCTATTCCTTTGCTTTATGTCTGACCCCATCTTTTGTAAAATGCCCTGAAATTTTATCCTCCTACATGAAGGACATCTTATAAATGCAAATTATAGTAATGCGATTCCACATCTTATCTCTTTAATAACATTAAAACCTGTAGTATATTTTGGCACAAATTCATGACCACAAATAAATGCAATTTTTGGGAGGGAAATTACACAGGTCGTTTGCTGCTTCAATTCATTTTACTGCTGGATGTGATTTCAACCTCTTTCCAACTATATCAATTTAGTATTAAAATAAAGCATTGGGGGGGCACAGTGGGTAAGCAGATTTCCTTTTCACTCCTGTCTTTGAATCTAGTCCAGGCTAATGGGATGAAAGTCTCCTCTGTTTTTGGCTGTAAGGATAAATTAGATTGGACAGTCTTAACCTAGTTCGTAGTGCATGCATGCACAAAAGGACTCAATGTTTGACTTAATTCGTCAGTCTGCTTGTCTGGTATTGTCCTCTAGAATCAATACTGCACCTTCTCTATAGTTTCAATACCTTTCCTGTGTGGTGCAGTGCCCAAAACTCAGCTGTGCCTAACAATGTCTGATGAAGATTCATTATTACTTCCACACTTTTAAGTTCAATGGCTCTGTATTTTATTTATTTAAAATACAGAATTCTGTTTCTCCTTTTAACAACCTCTATTCTTAATCCCATTTTATTATTAATAATAATAATTCTTGAATTTGGCATAGCGTCTTTCATGTTGGGAAGAGTCTCAAAGCACTTTAACAATATATGTATTTGTATCCTGCAATCCTTTGGGCATTTTTGTCATTGTAAGTTATTCACCTCCAGTGATTTCACACAGGGAATGATCTTGAATTGATGGTATATTATTAAATGATGACTTCATAATGACTTTCTGAAGACCTTTGGGATGTTCACAACATTATAGGTGCCATATCAAATGCATTCTGCCCACACTCTGGAGCTCTGGCCCAGAATCCTTCCAATTCGCCCTTACTTTATTCAAATTCCATCTCAAGATCTTCCTTTTCGTACGCACCTTTAGTCATCTTTCCCCACTCCCCTCCCACCCACCCTTAGCTACCGCCCTCAGCTTAGGTTTCCAGCCACAACTGTCATGTGCCTTTTGACATGACAGGTGCTATAAGAATGTAAAGTTGTTATCCCTAATGTGCAATTCGATTCTGAAGTCCCTCGGCCTCCGTCTTCCCTTTCTCCCTAGATGCAACCTGACTGCTGAGTGTTCCCAGCAATCTCTGTTTTTGCTTCAGGTTTCCAGCATCTGCAGTATTTTGCGTTTTAGAACTGGCCATTTGCTTCACATGAATAATGTGGGTCGATTGCTTTGGAAATTGATTTTAATGAGAATTGTAGTGTGATATCAAAATAGGCTTCTGGCTTTCCACACAAAGTAGAATCCATACCTTTCCAGCATAATACTAACATTAAAGGTACATTCAGCATAAGAAATTAGAGTGTCTTTGATTCACGGCTGCCTTTAAGTAAGGATTAACCTGCCGCAGCAGCATCTGGAATAATTCAATAGTGAAACTCTCAGCACCTGCAGCAAGTGTTTATCTTTCTGCCTGAATCTATTGGCGAACGTTGAGCAAAAGACAAAACTTTCAATGAGTGGATATGGTTGTAACAGTGCTGTGTGTGTATTCTCTTCCACATGAGACATTAAACCAAGGCCTTGTCTGCCTGTCCAGGTGGATGTTAAAGATCCCATGACTCTATTCAAAAAGAGAAGGCAATTTCTGTGTCCTGGTAAACAATCCCACGCAAAGGGTAATGGAAATCTGGAATTCTCTCCACCAAAAGACTGTGAATACTGGATCTAGCAACAACAACAATAAATTACATTTGAAAGCTCCTTTCACATCGGACGGATGTCCCAGGCCGCTTGACAGTCAGGGATTTGGACTTGAGCAGGGGGTTGGCATCAGGACTGATGAAGGGCAGGGAGGAAAGAGGTAAGAGGGTGGCTGAAGGCGCGGTCAAAGAGGAGGGGTCTTGAGACGTGCCTCAATGGAAGCAATGGAGGGCGCAAGGAGAAGGGACTGCGGAATGGAGTTCCAAAGTGTGGGGAAGAGAGGCTGAACGGTAGGGTGGGTCTGAGCCTGCTGAGCAGAGGGAGTGGATAGGTTGACATGGCATTAGCATGTCACAGAGGTGGGATGGAGCAAGGCATGGAGAGCTTTGAAGGTGGGGACAAGGATTTTGAACTCTATCTTCTGGGGGATGCGTAGCCAATGGAGCTGGGCGAGAGTGGATGTGATGGGGTCATGGAGCTGGTGTCGGAGAGGATACAAGCTGCAGAGTTCTGGATGGTATGCAACTTATGGAGGGAAGAGTTGGGAAAGCAGACAAGCAGGGAATTGGCATAGTCAAGCCTAGATGCAATCAATGAGTGGATGTCAGTCACAGCAGTCTGAGGGATGAGGCAGTGGCAGAGCTGGGTGATGTTGCAAAGGTGAGGGAAGGCAGAGCGGGTCATGGCACGGATTTGGGGTAGAAAGGATAGTTGAGGATCAAACAAGACGCCAAGGTTCTGGACTGGCTCAGTAAGGTGGAGTGTGTATCCTTGGATGGTGATGCTGTCAGTGCCTGAGGCAGGGAGGCGCTGATGGGAGCCAATCAGGATGGCCTCAGTCATGCTGACATTCAACTGGAGCAAGCTGGTTCTCATCCAGGACTTGAGGTCTGACCGACATTCTGTCAGGATAGCAGTGGTCCTGGAGTCAAGGGTGGAGGCAGAGAGGTAGAGTTAGGTGTCATCCGCATACATATGGAAGTTGACCCCATGTCTGCAGGTGATATCATCAAGAGCGAGCATGTAAATGTTGAAGAGAAGAAGACCAAGGACAGAGGCCTTAGGAACGGTGCACGAGACAGTGCAGCGGCTGGAGGCAAAGCCGTTTGTAAAGACTAAGTGGAGACAGTAGGATCTGAAACAATCAAGGACAGAACCATGTGAAAGGAGATGTGGTGGTGGTGGATAGAGTGATCAACAGTGTCAAGACTGAAATGGATAGATTTTTGTTAGGGAAGGATATCAGGGGATATGGATCCAAGGTGGGCTATTGGAGTTGAGACCCAGATCAACCATGATCTAATAGAATAGCATAACAGGCTTGAGGGGCTGAATGGTTTATTCATGCCATGCATGACCATGCATTCGGTGATCCTGTAGCTCAGTGGTTAGAGCACTCGCTTTGCAAGCGAGAGACCTGAGTTCAATTCCAGGCAGGGTGAAACCTTGAGCACGTTTCCTTACTCCACATGCCAAATAATAATCCCTCCAAAAAAAAACAATAATAAAAAAAATTGGTCATTTTCAATCCACGACTGTTTGTGGGACATTGCTGTGCGCAATTGGCTGTCGCGTTCGCCCACAAATATACAGTCAATTCACTTTACAGTGTGTTATGTGAAGCGCTTTGGGACGTCCTCCCGATATGAAAAGCGCTATATCAAATGCAAGGATTATTATTATTATTATCCTCCAACCTCCATCACCTTGCACTCAACCCCTCTTGAACTAAGTCATTGAAGAATGAAGATATAATTTTGGAACTCAGAGGATGAATAACTATCAAGCTGCAGAGATCAATGTTTCATAACGATGTAGTAATAATAATCTTTCCATTTGAAATAGCGCTTCTCACATCCGGTGACCATCTCAAAAGTGCTTCACGGGATCTACTATATTGTATAGTGACTGTTAAAGCTCCCCGACCCACAAACATGATCACCCCCTCGACTTCATCATTCCCCATGGCCTAAACATCTCTGATCTGTCCATCACAGATAAGGCCATCTCAGACCATTTCCTCATCTTACTCTCCTCTCATATCCCCCACCCTTCCTCCAAGCCCTCCACCATCTTTATCAGCCCATGTAAAAAGCTTACCTTGCAAGTCCCTCATAAACGCCCTCTTATCCTCAGACCTTCTCTCCTTCTGGCCTTCCACCTGCAGTGATCCAGATGCAGCCATCAAACACTTAAACAATTACCTCGCCTCAACCTTTAATTTCCTTGTTATTCTGAAAACCAGGTCCGTCTCCAAGTCTACCCATTCACCATGGTACAACAGTCATCACCGCTCCCTCAAATTCCAAACCCAGTTGCTTTAGCGCGGATGGCACAAAACCAGCCTCATGGTTCACCTCCAACTGTGGCTCGAGCATCTTCATACCTACCACCGCTTCCTCACTCAAGCCAATACCGCTTTCTACTCACAGGTCATTCTCCAGGCCAAAAACAATCCCAAATCCTGTTCTTCATTACCTACCACCTCCTCAATCTCCCTCGATCCTCACTTCTGATGTCAAGTGCAAAGAGGTCCTGGACTTCTTGATCTTTAAGACAGATAATATCCACCTGGCAGCCTCCTCCTCCACCTCCATGTCGCCTACCGCCCCCTCCATGCCTCCTTCATCACCCTCTGCTCCTACCACGGCTCCTACTATGGCCCCCACCCTACACTCCTTTGCCCCCATCTCTCCCTCCTCCCTTTCCCCCATTATCACCCAGATGAAGCCCGCCACTTGCGGCCTGGACCCCCTGGCCACTTAGTTTCTGGTCACTCAACTCCTCCTCCTTTGCCCACTGATAGTTGACACAGTCAACCAGTTCCTTTCCTCAGGCTCTGTCCCACTCCCTCTCAAAACCATTGTCATCAGTCCTCTCCTTAAAAAATCTATCCTCCAACCTCACAAACTTGTGAAGACTCAAACCCGTGCTTGTCGAAGGTCAAATTACCTTGTGAGGGAGGTTAGAGGGTTCTCCTCTGAGCTGAACTGGCTCTAAGGTGACATGTTTGGTGACGGAACGTAGCTAACAAAAGAAAAAAGCCTAGGTAGCGAGTGTTAATAGGCAATTCAACCTTGGGCAGAACTGAACAACATCCTGTCCTTACCACACATCCACTTGTCTACTTTCTACCAGAGGATTTGACAGTTTGCAAAACTCAGTACAACCTTAAGCAGTGCATTTTACAAACTGAATTATCCGGGAACCTTTAGAGTTAATAACTTTCATATAAAATTAACCAAATATACCATGTCCTGAAATGCTACACACACTTTGTCTATGAAAGTATGACTCAACTGGTAGCAAATTTGGCTCACAATGTTCCTCCCACGTGCAAATTTGCTAACAGTACACATTCCAATACTGTATATCATTTTAAATCATCTGGACTATATATATATATATATATATATATATATATGTATGTAAAGGGATTGGTGTTTTAACCCATCTTCTCTCCTTGTGTTTCACGTGTCTCCCTTTCCCCGTGCCTGCATCCTTACTTTACCCTCTAATCCTCTCTTAAGCAGCCGGCCTTCTCTGACTTCAAGTGCCTCCTTCTACGCCTGGTGTCTAAAGTCACTCGCAAGTGATTCAGTCTCACTTTCTTCGCTATTGATTGCAGCGTTGAGTTACTCAGCTCAGGGCAGGGCCGGTGAGGATCCCTGCGTCACAATATGGACAATCAGCAGCTGCGGGACACATTCTGTTGCCAAGAGCAACAGCCCCGATGCCCGTGGAGGAGGGCAATTTGTCTCAGGGCTCGAGTTGGGCTGCACAGATGTGATTGTCCTCTCTCTTCCTGCTCCAACAGAGCAACAGGTCCAATCCAGAACACCACCCTCTTCCAGCAGAGGACCCACACTTTTGTGCTTTACATCCTTCCTTTCCAATAATAAAAGGGAACGTTATTATTGTGCTGTGTTCCCCTGTCCTTTTACAAAACATTTTTGTTGAAATACCGAGGGAATAAAAGAACAGCAAAACTTTCAAAATGTCGTTCTCAAGTCTCAAACCTCCAGTTCTCACAGAACCCTTCACCCTAACTGCTTTCGAGATATGTTTGGAATCGTTCAACAATTTGATGGCGGATATGATACGAAGACTAAGAGAGACAGATACTAAAAAAATGTTGCCAGACAACTTTGAGGGTGGGTAGAAACCACAAAGCAATATCATAATTATTGCCACTTTAGTTATAGTAGCTTACGATTCTAATGCTGTGTTTATTTACAATCAGAGCACCTTACTTATGACAAGTTTTTTGAAGAAGTGGACCGTATCTTTAAAGGTGAAGTGAAAACTGAAAACATAAAGGCATTTTTTAAGAAGGTTAACAACAACCCAGATGTCCCAGTAGACTGGAGTGAAGTAAGTTCTTAAGACATTTTATGTGATATGGAGAGATTCATACGGGCAATGGAGTTTTAAAATAATTGGATTTTATGAATGGTGAAACTGGTGAGACTGGCAAGAGAGAGAGAGAGAAAGAGAGAATGAGAGAGTCATCTCAATCTTTTTCAATGCCCTTTTTGCCAGGATTCCCAGCTCTACTGCTTATAAATGCAATTAATTTTAAATTCCACAGCCCATATCCTTACCCATACTAACCACCGCACCCCCATCAATTGCAGGATTCTCACACTAAATCATTTCAGCTCTTAGTACATCCCTGCCTCTCTGACCATGCTAAAACCCCATTCCCTTTCGCTCAGCTGGCTGCAGTCTTTTGTGCGTCCCTTGTCCAGTCTACTCCATCATTGTCAGCTACTACACTCTCAAACTCTGGAACTCTCTGCCTCAATCCTTTTGTCCACCACCTCCTTGCCTGTTTTCAGATTGCACCTGAAGTCCTTCCTCTTCAACCATGTCTAAAGTCACCTCCCCTTTATTCCCAACTTAGCATCAAGTACCGACACTTTTAAGCAAGTTGTTGTTGTTGAATGGGAGGAATGAAAGGATGAATTTTCTCATGTCATTCTGTTGACCCTTGTGGTTGACAGGAAAGTAGCCCATTTTGGCCAATGGAGATTCCAGAAATAGCTTTGCCACACAAAGATCTGTTGTCTAGTTTTCTTTTCAAACACTAGCATCACATTGTTTCGATCGAAAATGTAAACATATCAAAAATCATAAATTACATTTCTTTTTATGAAAATTGTATTCATTTGAGGACTTCTGGATCTATGATTACTTGGTTGGAAGACAGTTCATGGCTAGTTTATCAATTACTTCTTGCTTATTAAACATGAAACAAACAATAGCAATTACCTAACTAGGGCACGATCAGGACAGAAATGTTCAATAGACTGTAAAATCTGCTAAAAATAGCTATAAAGTCCAAGTATGGTCTTCCTTCAATTTATTCGTCATTTTCCACTTCCAGAAAATGTTGGATCAAACCTGTATACTTCTATTTTTAATTTTTAATTTATTAGTTTTACTGAAATATATTTTTTACAATGTCTTTGTATCCAGAATGTTTTATATATTCACATGTTTTATATTTACTTATGGTAAAACTGATATATACATAAGTGATATGAAATTGGCTGCTGCGTTCACTTACAAAACACACAGTCAGTACACTTTACACTATATCCTGTGAAGCGTTTTGGGGGTACACCTGACATGAAAGGTCTATTATAAGGATTATTGTTATTAATAAATGTTGTGGAAATTATTTTCTCACTTCATATTAGAGTTACTAGATCACAAGCGTTTGAAAATTTAAAATAATTATTTCTATATATAGGAACAAAGGAAAATAGGAGTAAGTTATTGAACCAATTGAGCCTGTTCCATCAGTATATTAGATGTTGGCAGATCTTTCAGTGCCTGTCTTTTCACCATGCCACTTAATACCTCAACTATCCTGTCTGTCTATCTCTGTTTTAAATATGCTTTCTACATCTTTCTCATAATAAATTAAAGAAATTCAAGATTATATGCTCAACAGTTTTAGTTTATGTTAACATTGTGATTAATGTATTAATATTAATTAATCCTGGTCCTCACCTTCAAAGCCATCCATGGTCTTGCTCACCCCTACATCTGCAACCTCCTAACCCCCTAACCATCCTGCTTGTTTCCTCCGCTCAGCAGGCTCAGGTCTGCTTCACATTCCCCGCCTCGCTCACCCCGCTATTGGCAGGCGGGCCTTCTGCCACTCTGCCCTCACCCTCTGTAACGCCATCCCACAGTCCCTCCACCTCGTCCCTCCCTCACCTCCTTCAAGACCCATTTCAAGACTCTCGTCTTCGACTGTGCTTTTGATCTCTCTGCTTCCCCCCTTGCCCTCCACACTCCTGACACCGACCCCCAGCTCGGGTCCGAAATTGTCTGTCCAGCGCTTGGGACATCTCCCACCTTGAAAGGTGCTATACAAATAATATTTTTGATGTTGTGTTAAATATGTTATGTTTCTCACTGTATGCCAGAAGTACATGGAAAATGGAATCAGATTTCGGTGAGGGAATGAACTCAGTGCCGTTCCATTTCATTCATATTTTATATGGTGACTTGGTCAACATTAATTGAAGTGTATTAAGATTAGAATAGTATTTCTACTCCCCAAGTCGTTAATTGAAGCACACACCAATGCTTACAAACAGATCATAGCTCAATTAATATTTCTTCTCCTTCACACACCATAGAACGCTGGGGATTGCACAGAGAGAACCGTAATTGAATTCTATTTTTAAACACTAACATCAAAAGATGTTGCCAGCGTTGCTCCCGGACTACTGTGCTATGCATGGAATGCAGAACTCTTTGATGGCTTTTCACTTTGTTTTTCTCAACTATTTTACCAACAAAATACCCAGTCATTCCACTTTACAGCAAATCCTGTGTTTGTGAAGTTTTGATGATAATAATAATAATAATCCTTGCATTTGATATAGCGCTTTTCACGTCGGGAGGACGTCCCAAAGCTCTTCACAGAACACACTATAAAAGTGAATTGACTGTATATATTTGTGGGCGAACGCGGCAGCCAATTGTGCACAGCAATGTCCCACAAACAGTCATAGATTGAAAATGACCAATTTATTATTGTTTTTGGTTTTTGGAGGGATTATTATTAGGCGTGTGGAGTAAGGAAACTTGCCCAAGGTTTCGCCCTGCCTGGAATTGAACTCAGGTCTCTCGCTTGCAAAGCGAGTGCTCTAACCACTGAGCTACAGGACTATGATGTGATATATCAAGGTGCATGGATTATTAGTAGTACTACTACAAGGATTATTAATGGTATTAGTGGGCACATTTATAGCATTAAAAAAACACTCTGAGAGAAGAAATGGATTTGTTTTCAGATCGAAATTGTGTACCAAATGGTGCCACTCGGATGCCACAGTGACTATAATACAAGGAATAATACAAATCAGGAATAGTTTTGAGAGCCTTTACATTGGCTGATGGGCCATCAGTGATTGTAGCAGAAGCATAATGCTGTGACCTGTAAATTCTGATTGCTGTAGTTTCTCTTCCTACATCAACTGGTCAGATCGGATTATCTTCAGTAGGTAAAGCAGGGGAAAGCTGCAGAGGAAAATGAAAAAATGTGTGTCGTAACTACCATTGGAATTATTGGCGAGGCATCAGAGTGGATTGAAAGCACATTGTGAAAGCACGCATAATGAACAGTAAATTATGTAACATATTGCCCCTTTTTCAGACTATTCCCTTGTTATGCTCAGGGTTAATGTGTCTCTTGACAAATTAATGGGTTACTGAACATACTGAAAGAAAATTTATGGAGTGTGCTTGCCAAATTAGACACTTTGGCTAGAATTCCTCATGGAGCAGTTTTATGCATCAGGGAATACATGCGTCAATGGATTGCATTGCAGTTCTTCAGTCTGATTACTGCACTTGTCCTGTCAGACAGAAGGTCCGATATGGGGAAGCTTAGCTATGAGGACTGGCTGGAAAAGTTAGGACTTTTCCCATTAGAGCAGAGAAGGTTACGCGGGGACCTGATAGAGATCTTCAAGATCATGAAAGGTTTCGACAGGCTAGATAGGGAAAAGCTGTTTCCGCTGGTAAGTGTGTCTGTGACTCGTGGTCACAGTTTTAAGATATCTACCAAAAGAAGCAGAGGGGAGGTTAGAAGAATTTTTTTCACTCAGCGAGTTGTTAGAATTTGGAATGATCTGCCTGAAAGGGTAGTGAAGTCCGATTCGATAACAGCTTTTAAGAGAGAACTGGATAGGTATCTGGGGAAGACGGGTTTGCAGGGTTACGGGGAGAAAGCTGGTGAGTGGGGTTAATAAAAGTCAGTTGTTCCGTCAAAGAGCCGGCACAGACTCGATGGGCCGAATGGCCTCCTTCTGTGCCATAACATTCTATGATTCTATGATCCTTTCAGCCATTGATTTGTTTTCTAGCTTGCAGTCAGGTCAACTTCTGATCAAAATGTAACTCTTCACTGCTTACTATGCAGTTAGAATCATAGAATTATACAGCACAGAAGAGGCCATTCGGCCCATCTTGCCCTTGCCTGCTCTTTGAAAGAGCTGTCCATATTAATCCCACTCTCCCGCTCTCTCCCCATAGCTCTGCAAATTTGCCCTCCCTAAATACCTGTCCACTTCTTTCTTGAAAGTTGTGATCGAATCTGCTTCCACCACCCTTTCAGGGAGTGCATTCCAGATCCAAATAACTCGCTGCGTGAAAACATTTTTCCTCATCTCCCTTCTGGTTCTTTTCAGCTGTAGGAAGAAACCGTGCAAGATTAGAGATGAAAGATTGAAAACAAAACGACCCGAGATGTTGCTTGATCAGTCTTTGGCATAATACAGTAGCCATTACACAAAAGTGACTTCAGTGAGGAAATCAACAATAAATTTGTTAAATTGTAGAATAATATGTTACAGCTCTGAAGCAGGCCATTTGGTCCATCAAACCTGTGATAGTGTTTTTCACCATATGAGTGTCCTCATCTAACCTCACTCTCCTGCTTTCTCCCTCTACCTTTTAAGGATCCTCATTTGAAAGCAAATTTAATGATGACATGAGTTGTGTAGGTTGGCAAAAGACGTGGTGCTTAACATTGTTGCATACTGGTGTAATAATATTACCTTTGATGGTATAGGGAATTTGGAGTGGTTTGAAAGTAACCTTTGAAAATTTACTCTTTGAAGTGATCAAATATAAGACTGAGCTCCCAGATACCACAGGTCTGTTCCCTATTCTTATGGCATGGTGGTCCCATATTAGAGGTGTATTTTAGTATTTGGCCTTCAAAACCATCTTTTTCATTTTGAAAAAGCATTTCTCCTTGTGCCACATTAACCCCTCTGATATTGTTGTTCAATTAGAGAGACTTGCTGTATCATCCAAAAAAAAGAAAGCTTTTATGAGATACTTTGTCTAGAATGTTTTCTATTTTCTGGGGTGTTTAGATTGAGCTGGAATGGTGTTGAAAAGTATGTTTAGAAAATTGAATAATACCAGGTACAAAACAGTTTGTATTGAAGTTATGCATTATAACATATATGGGGGAGAAATTACCACATGGGTCTAGAATCATTCTATTAACGTAGCATTTCAGAGCATCCAGAATTTGGCAAAATGTTGAATTCAGTCTTTGAATAAGAATAATCCTTCCATTTACTATAGTACCTTTCACGTTAGGAGAACATCACCAAGCACTTCACAGGATTTACTATAAAATGTAATGACTATGTATTTTGTAGGTGAATGCGACAGACAATCTTGCATGCAGCAGTATCCCACAGACAGCCAAGAAGGGAATGACCAATTTTATCTGGGGCCTGGATACTGAGAAGAACTCCCATTTCATTTTGAATATTGCCATGGGATCTATACCATCCACCTGAACACGGAGGCAGGACCTCGGTTTATCATCTCGATTTACAGCCTGAACTTAGAAGTCAATTTTCCATAGTTGTTAAACAAAAGCTGGCTTCAAAATTAATACAATACAAAATTACATTTGTAGAGCGCCTTTCACGTGGGAGTAATTAAGAATTTAAGGCAGTAATTAAGAATTTATTGCATTCCTGAGACTCTGAAATGGTTTATTAATAAGAGTAAATCCTGACACAAGTAGACTTTCTCCCCATTAGTGTTTTGTGCAGAATAGTAACTCTCAGGATTACTAATATTGTAACTTTATTTTTGCAGCTGTTTGGATATTACCAATCAGAAGAAAGGGGTATTTACAAGGGGTTGCCTGTGTTTATGGTTTCGAAACGACAACGAGTTGTACAGTCAGATGGTACTGCAAATATTTTTTCCAATCTTTATCATATAACAATAACTTTGCTTAATAATAATAATTCTTGCATTTGATATAGTGCCTTATCATGTTGAAATGTTGTTAAAATGTGTCAAATTGCTTTGCATTATTTACTGTAGAGTATAGTGACTGTGTACAATCACCAAGATAAGATTAGTCATTCAACTCTGGTTTGTTTGTGATTGCTGCATCTGCCTATAAAAACAGTCAGTGCAGTCATTACCCTAAAGTGCTTTTAGATGTTTTGACATAATCAGAGGCTATAAAATGCAAGTTCTTTCTTAATTCTTTTTCTGTTTCATGGTCCTCAGTGTTATATATGCAGAGTCTATTCTGTCCATTCAATGTTAAAATAGCATGATTACACAGTAGCAAGCTGATTAAATACACTGATTAGGACTGGTCCCTTTGCAGATAAGCAAACTGCAAATAATAGACATCACACAAACACAATTTAAAAATTAACTAAATTGCATCCCTCATAACCCTGCATGCTTCAGATATACACAGAACTGGATTTATCTAACTTCCACTTCTCTGTGTTGAAGCCCGATATAAAGAATCACCCATTTGGATAGTTGGTGCGGAGAATTGGCATTTTACTGCAATTCTTTACTGCAAAAGTTATAAACTGTTTATGAGAGGTTTGCTGCCCTTTTTGCAACTTTTCATTTGTCTGTCATCAGTGTAGTAACATTTCATTGATGAATGAAGCCTAAGTTTTGATTAATCCTCTCTGTTCAAAACATCTCTCCTTGTGATTTTCTTGTGATTGAAGCCATGGTTGGTTGCACTATTTTCGTTTTAGTGTATTTGTTCTTTTTCAGTGATCGATGCCCCAAACTGAGGCCTACTGCAGAAAAAAACATTTTGGATGGCTTAAGCAAAGCAAAAACAAAGCATATATTCTAACCCCAGACATGATTCCTAAACATCATGACAAGTATAATGCACAATTCTATACAATAGAACTAAAATTCCACCTGTCTAGTGCTAAAATTAGTTCCTCTGTTTTGTGCTGTAGAGTGCGGCAGAAAATTAACAGTTACAAGGTATTTGAGTTTAAATATCATTAGAAGTAGGTAAAAATGTTAGCATTGAAATGCGAAATGGGCTAATTAAGATGTCTTTCAGCTGAATGCCATTGTCTACGGTTGTGTAATTCTCCACTTCCAAAAGTACAAATGCAGCAAAGTTTATTTTTACTCATAGGTAGGATTACCCTTGAGGATGGAATTAGCACCACTGTTCAAGGGGAGACTCTTTTTGTTCATTGATTTTGCAGCAGCATTTTCTGCAGATAATGGAAGTGGACTGTCATTTTTGTTCTGCAGGAGGCAAAGATAAGTAACTACCATTGAAAGAATCTTTGATTGGAAGTAACTTTCATCAGAAGTAACTTTGGGAAGGAGAGTTTCAGTGCCATGCAAATAGCGTGGTCTCAGAGAAGTGATCTCTTCTCGCTTGTTCAGCGACCAACCCCACCACTGTACTGCGTTCTGAGACGTTATCCTAAGTGAAGGGTGCTATATAAATGCAAGTTGTTGTAATAATGGGTTGTGGTTTTGGTCAGTCAGGTCTCTGATTCAGGCAGAAATCCATCACCATGAAGTATCCAAACCAAACTATTAATGGACTGAATTGTTGGATATATCTCCCTATGTTTATTTGTTGATCTGGGCCATATGGGAACGTTAATTAATTGAATATGTGAAATGCAGAGGATTTCTGTCAATTATGTTAAGCAAAACTGTTACATAGAGCTTCTTGTGTTCTTTCATGAAGCATTACTCTCTTAATTCAACTGCAGAGTATGACTGGAGTGTTGGCCAAGCTACTTAGATAATGTCTACTAATTTGGTAAAGTTTTTTGCACATTTATACTGTTTCTGTGATAATTTCTTCCGCAAAAAATTGAGATATGGCTCATTATTCAAGGTGATGCATTGCAGGAGATAGGTAAGCGCACTTGACCGACATGGTGCAGTCTGGGCATGCATCTATTGAAAGAGCTTGTGCCCTTGTGTGCGTTTCTTATTTTGAATAATAAGTTAAATGTTGAGGTTGGAAAATACAAAAAAAAGGGACAGCTATGGCTACAGGGGAATTTCTCGGTGTAGGTAGGCTGTGTGGAACTCTCAGTTTGGTTTGGATAACCTTAAGCGTAGTGATGGTTTTCTACACCTGGGTGACCACCCCACAAAATGTGCTGCTTTAAATTCTGCTGTTCAAAGCAATAGTGATGTCTACATTAGGTTGAAATAATAAATGAATCATGAACTTTAACGATTTAAATTGACTTAAGCTCTTCTTTTGTTTGCAGAAGATAGAACGATACGTGATGTTATTCAATGTATTATTAACTTGCCACAACTTGATCAGAATATAATCGCTTCTCAAAAAGGAAGGATTTTACTCTATAATAACAAAGTAAGTCTGAATATGGTGAAATGAAGCTCCATGTAAAAATCCAGCAGTCGCAATTTTGTAATTCTTAAAATGTCTGGGAGCATCATTATAAAAATGCTGGGGAGATATTCCACTTGGGTTAAGGTTTATTCTATATATGAAGTATTAATGGACTGAATTGTTGGATATATCTCCCTATGTATATTTGTTGGTCTGGGCCATATGGGAGCATTAATTAATTGAATTTGGAATAATTCCAAATTTGGCGAATTCTTAACAATATAGGTTTAGTAGTGAAGTTTCTTTTACTGTAAGTTCTTTTACGAAACTACATAAAACTAACCAAAGTTAAGACAATTTGTCAACTTCTGGACACTAAAATATTAAGTGAATTTCTCCCACATATAAATTGTGATAATTTAACAGTGCATGTTAAATTGCTGGAGTTTAACCAGCTAAAAAAGTATCATCTTTCCAATTCTGGTGATGTTGGTTGGGTCGATATGTATTTTTAATATATACACAAATTGGATCATCTACAATCCTACAAGGGGAGAAGTAATATCAGCCAGTATCAGACACACTGTTTTAAGACCTTTGTGTCTTGATCAGACATCTCTGAGATATGTAGTTAGTTCTTTCTCACTCTTAAGCAGCAGTATCAATTTTCATTATCCTTTGGAGATGATTGGCTCAAGATTTAGACTAAACACAAATTCTGCACCAATTCTCTGTTGTTCAAATACTGGATTTTATTATTTTAAATTTATCAGTTCAGTTTGGTTTATTTGTTCCAATATCTTTGCTGCAGTCTGTAAGCACAATTATACTGTATCACACGGGTTTACTTATAGCACAACTGGGATGTGGACTTTGCCATTTATTCACCAAAAAATCCAAGATGTGCACAGAAGGTGCCTGTCTCACTTTAAAATGCTAGTTCACTTTTCATACACTAAAAATGATTGACTTCAGGTTTCCACAGATGTAGCTTCTTCAGCGTGCAGGAACTGATGTTAGTGGTGACCTGATGATCTGGAAGTTGGGCATTTTGGGCATTAAAAAGATCCTCACTGGGGCTCCTGGCTCATTATAATGCTGGTTGGAATTTTATGGACCTCAAACTATCATATTATAATGTAAAGACCACTTTGCATTTTACATAATCAAACTCAGCAACAATAGAACACTCAAAAAAAGATTAATTATCTCTTGACAGATTGATGATTCAAGATTCAGATCAAACCTCAACTCAAATTAAGCATTATTTAATTCTCTGTCCTGTCTCCTTGTTTCTACTAAGGCAATTGTGCAAGATTTCAAAGCACCTCCAAGGGCACAATAATAACCTTAGAGATGCTGAAACAACAATGTTATTATTATGCAGCTCACAGTTCACTGCAGATTTTACATTAGCTCACCGTGATCACTCTTAGCAACTATTATTATTATTATTATTATTATCACTCTTAGCAAATAAACCCTTCCCTTCCAATATAGTGGGGTATTATAATGTCTAAGGAATATAGGGATGGGGAAGTGTCATTTCATTATTTTTTTTAAAAAATCTTAAAGTACAGTATTCAATTCTTGACACTATCTATTGGAATTCAAGTTTTGGTTACAGGTTCATTACTAATTAATATATTTAATGATTTGACTTCTCATGACCATAGAACCATAGAAATGTATAGCACAGAAGAAGACCATTTGGCCCAACATATCCAAATGCTGGTTCTTTGAAAGAACAATCCATTCAGTCTCATTTACCTAGCTTTTTCCCAAACCGCTGCAAGTTTTTTCCGGTTTACAACAACAACATGAATTTATAAAGTGACCTTCACGTGGGGTAGCGTCCTGGAGCACCTTAGATGTATATGTGGTTCCAATTGAAAGCTAATCTGGATTCTGCCACAACCATAGCTCCCTTCAGAACTATCCAATTCCTGATAAATCTCTGTGTAAAACAATTCTCATTCCCCCTCTTTGCTTGTTATTGGCTGTTATTGGCTTCTCCCCCTGTAGGGTATCATAGACTGCTGATCATCCCAGTATTTGTAATCAATCTATCAATAACATTATATACATTAATTCATGAACTTCTGACTATATGTGCTTATTATGTGAAACTCAGGCCACCAAACACATCAAAATGTACTAAATCTCTGCCACACAAAACATCACCCACCCCATAGGCTCCTCTACATTCGTTGTTTTTCCCATCTCATTGTTTCAATGCTTGGGGAAAGCCATCCGTCACAGTACAGCTGACACTGGGGATCTATCTGCGTGATGCCTGTCGGTCTGTCCTGTATAGACTGACCTTCTATTCAGTGTCGGGTTGAGTCCTCCTGTCTCTGAATTCATTTTTCAATTCGTCCAGTCAGATTCTGCTTCTTCAGTCAGTCTTTGTGGTATTTAAATCACTCATTGATTCTCATTTGATTCCTTCATTTTCTGTCCAATGTTAAACCAATATTAATTAGTAATTTCCCCACATCCTGCTGGATGCAGGGATTTGTGCGAGAGCATTGTTTTCTTCTTTGCACCATCACTCAGGACCTGCAGAAATGTTATTCTGAAACTTACATTTCAATACAATTTACATTTATATGGCACCTTTCACATCAAAGGGACATCTCAAAGCTTCACATAGTTGACCGAGCACTCAAGGTGACAGTAGGGGTAGAGGAGTTGAGTAGGGTGGGAGGAAACCTGAATGAAAGCATGATTCGAGAGAAAGATCTGAAGTGGGAAGGGAGGAGAGAAGCAGAGTGACTCCGAGGATGCAGTTACTGAGAGAGGAAACAGAATAGCTGAATGTTTGCCACCGATGGTGGGGTGAATCATGCAGGAGACATGAAACAGGCACTTTGCTCAGTGGAGGTTGTGGCTGGGTTGGTAGGTTACAGGAGAATCCAGGGATGTGATAGTCATTGCAATTTGAAAATGAAACATTGTGCTCATTGTGATGAGGAACGTTTGTCCTGAGAAATGAGACTTTAAAAGCTTTTCAATAAGTTTGATAAGTTAGTGAGTCATCTGGTTTCCTGAAGGAGCATTTAAAAGCCATCAAAGCATTTGGTGCAAATGCTCATTATGCATTGATTTATCAATTCAAATTGGATTTCACCAGAATAATACTGAACTTCCTGTCATCAAAACCTTGATTCTTTAGAGAAATAAATGTAGTAAAAGGTTTCTTGTATATCCATCAACAAAAACAACTTGCATTTATATAGTGCCCTTCAAGCCGGACAGCATCTCGGAGCACTTAACAATGCTGGAGCCTGATGCCAAGCCAGGGGGAGGGGGAAGGTGATCGTAGACATGGTTAAAGAGTAAGGTCTTCAAGCGCGACCTGAAAATGGGGAGGGATTGAAGGAGAGAGTTCCACAGATTCAGGGCGTAGTGGCTGAAAGCACAGACACCAACAGTGGGGAGGAGCGTCCGGGAGACAAGGAGGAGGCCGGAATCAGTCGAGTGGAGGCAGCGGGTAGTAGGGTGGGGAGAGAGCAGGTTGGAGAGTGAGGGGGCTGGCAGGGTATGAAGGGATTTAGGATTGAAGATCTTGAAATCGATCCACTCTGGCAGGGAGCCAATCGTGTTTGACAAAGACTGGGGTAATGAAGGTATGGGGTTTAGTGCGGGTGAGAATGCGAGTGGCGGAGTTTTGAATTAGTTGAATTTTGTGAATTGTGGAGCAGGAGAGACCAGGAGAATTGTCTATGTAATAACTTAAAAGCATACTCAAAGATCTCTGTCGACACTGATCCATCATTTCAGTAACCTAATAAAGCCTTGCTGGACTTTGATCAAACTTAATAAGTGGAAACAGTCTAGCTGTGATGAATCACTGGCAATAAATGCCTAGGTACATGCAATTTCATGTGTATAATTGTCATTTGGTGACAGCAGCAGCATAAGTGTATATTACATTAGATCAAGGTTCAGTTGTTAGATGAAAAAAGGCTATGCAGAGAAGAACCGCAGACAATTTGGTTGCATACAACAAACAAAATTCCGCCCCTGGACAATTTGCCACATGAGAGTATGAACTGTGCTTTTTTTTTCTTTCCCTGATCCAAATACCTTAACCAGGAATTTGAGGGGTTCAATTTAGATTTCCATTTCTTCTGGGAATCATTTTGGCTGTGTTTCGTCTCATGTCCGAAAATGTTAGGCTTGCAAAGATAAATATAGTTGCATATGGTTAATTGTATATCTTGTTTCTCCTCCTTTCCTCTATTCTGCTATACAAATGTAATTTGATATTGTATTCTATTCCACTTGAGGATAATGGAATTTGTTGCTATAATAAGAACAATCCTTGCCTTTACTCAGAGCTGAAAGCATCTCAAAAGACTTTCACAATGTTTCCCTAAAGATTGTGTACTCATAGACATGACATCCAATTTGTGCCATGCAATGAAGTGAATGAACAAGTAGCCACTAAGTTAATAACCAGTGTTTTATATTGAGGATTGTTGGTCAGGACACAGAGAGAAACTCCTTTTTCTTTTCAAATAGTGTCATGGAATCTTTAAATCCACCTGAATAGGTAAATCGGACCTTGGTTTAACATCTCATTAGAAGGATGACACATCTTGACAATATAGCATATTCCCAACACTGTATTGGAGTATAATGACCTTATTGGGTTCAAAGATTCTGAATCAGGTAACCTTTGGAATATTTGCCTCTGCTTTTTAGGGACTCCTAAATTATTTGAGATTTGTTTATCTTATCCCAGTCTGCTTTCTAAATTAATCCATTTCTTATTAATCTGCAGAGATTTATTTTCTTTGGAAGAAATGGCTAGATATTTCATTATTAGCCTTCGCATTGCTTTATCACGCTGTGCACTTGTTTTATCTGAGCTATCATGTTATAATAAAATACTATTACTCTAGGAGAGGCTTTGAGTTGAAGCCTCTTACGATACCTCAAGACTTCTTTCCTTTAACTTGATGGGATTATTGATTGGAGATTGATTTAGAGAGGAAGATTTTTAAATAATTGATATTCAAAGTATTTTTCCTTCCTCTCTCCAAAAGAAAATATTTATTACTGATTATATGTAGCAATGAAGTCTTATATCTGGTGTATTGCTGGGATCTGTGCTCTCAGCTGTCATGCTACACTAGTGCTGTATGTAATTGGCAGGGCAATGGCATACCTTGGAGAGGCTACATTTAACTTTGCTGGTTAGGTAACCCAGATAACCCAGAGCTATCCAAGAAAGCATGGTACCAGTGATGTATGCAGGAATGAATTGCATAGATAAGTCAATTTAAGGATTCAGGAAACAAATAGATCCCCTTGGAAAGTAGAGATATGGTGAGGTTACAGTGAGAAGGCAAGGAATAACAATAATAATAATGATAATCCTTGCATTTGATATAGCACCTCATCACATCTTTAGATGTCTTAAAGCGCTTCACAGAATATAGTGTAAAGTGAATTAACTGTACATTTTGTGGGCAAAATACGGCAGGCAATTACGCACAGCAGTGTCCTACAAACAGTCGTGGATTAAGTGACCAAATTATTCTTATTATTTTTTGGGGGGAAGGAATTATTAAACCCGGAAAAGCAATCCGCCAATCGACTAATAACCGGGTTCCTACTTACAGAAACATGTGGAAGAAACAAACTTGCCCAATGTTTCGCCCTGTCGGGAATCGAACCCTGGTCTCCCACTTGTGAAGCGAGTGCTCTAACCACTGAACTACAGAACTCCACATCAGAATTGTAGAAGTTTACAGTGCAGAAGGAGGCCATTCGGCCCATTGAATCTGCATCAGAACAAGTTAGTTGTTCACTGCCACTGCACTGCCCTATCTCCATACCCCTTGAAGCCTTATATGTACACATATCCGTCTACTTCCTTCTTGAAACCAAAAGGAAATGGAAGTCAGGGAAATAGTAGAATGGTCTGTTACATTGGATGGCTCGATGGGCCAAATGACCTTTTACCATTCCTAAATTCTTGTGTAATCCTATATATTCAGCTGGAAATGCCACCTGGATATAGATTACTTTATTTAAGCAACATTTTATAGTGCCCAGGATTTCACAAATTATTGAATTCATTCCTAGCTTTGAAGTTGTTTCTGTCTTTAAATAAACTTCTAGAAGACTGGCTTCAAAATTATGGTTTTATTTAAGAATTTGGCAAACTCTGGACGCTCAGAAATGCTACATATAGTAAATCTAGGTGGACTTTCTCTTCAAATATGCGTAGTTTTCACTTATGGATCTCTCACTTGAGTGAAGTATTGTTACCAGTGCAATATCCTGTGTTTGGTGACATATTTGCTAGAATCTCACCATCCAGAATCTTGTCAGATTACAAATTTTTCAGTCAGCACATGGAACAGCTTCAAATGTCACGTCTTATTTTTAACTCCCAATCTGTGCTTTTAGTAGAGATAAAATATTTGTGAATGGATCTGATACTTCAGCAAAGAATCTTTGTATTTGTGCATTGCTGTCAGGCTGTTCTGGGTGGTGTACCGTAATACATTTTAAAATCAGTATTTCTTCATCTTTATGGCCTCACTAATTATTTTTTGTGTGAACTGAATGCCAAATTCCAACAGCAATCATAATACTCTCACATGCTCTGTGTTATTCTTAACTTTTACTTTTGGATTGTGGGGCGTTCTGATAAAAGGCAATGTCCCAAAATAGATGAACGGGAAAATAGCTAGTTAATATTTGAACTCTGAAAATCTAAGCAGAGACCCTGCTAAAGATGTTTCACCCAGGAGAAAGAAAGGTAGAAGGGTAAGGTTGGGCTTGATGTTGGAAACATGTCTTGATTATGAGTTACACATTACAATAGAGTTTAATTTATAATGCAATAGTTGGAATTCATAAAATCCCAAACTGCTTTACAATGCAGCCATAATAGCCAGTTTACCTGTGCATCACCAATTCCTGTACCATACAGCAAGTGACATCGGTGATGACCTTGAGACCGGCTATTTTTAATGTGCAGAAAGCCATTTATAAGGTGGCAACCGACCAGTTTACAGGAAGCAACCCAATTCCACATACCATTTGTTATCATTGGAGCAGTGCTGTTATATAACACATTTTAATGAATCTGGACTGTATTTCCCCATCTATGAAGTTTGGATGGTACCTTGCATTTTTTCTGCATGTCATTTTCCTGGTTTGCAAGCCATTTAATCATATAATAATAATAATCCTTGCATTTGATATAGCAGCTTATCGAGTCATTGAGTCGTCTCAAAGCGATATACTGTAATGTAGATTGACTCTGTATTTTGTGGGCAAAATGTGGCAGCCACTTGTGCACAGCTATATCCCACAAACAGCCATGGAGTGAGTGAACAATTTTTTATTTTGGGAAATTTTTGCCCAGACACTAGGAAAGACAAACTCCCTTCTCTTTTCAAATAGTGTTATGGGATCTTTAACGTCCACCTGTACAGGCAGACAGGTCCTCAGTTTAATGTCTGGCACCTCCAACAATCCAACACCCCCCATCACACCCCCATCACAGCTTAGACTGTGGTTTCAAGTCCCAAAGTGGTGCTTGAACCCACAACCTTCTGATTTGGAATTGAAAGGATTAGTTAAGATACAGATCAGCCATGACCTAATTAAATGGTAGAACAGGCTCGAAGGATTGAATGGCCTACTCCTGGCCTATGTTCCTATGACTCAGAGGCAAGAGTGCAACCACTGCGCAAGGCTGAAACATAAATACACATAGGTTCCCAAAAATCTTACAGAAAACCAGCTTCAAAATTAAAGGCTCCATTTAAGAACTTGACAACTTCTGGAGATTACTACGTTAATAGAGTAAATCTCGATCTAGGTGGAAATTCCACCAACAAATGTTTGATTGAAAAATAGTTGCTGGAATCTTTGTTAGCTGATGAATTTCATTCTTTATTTTAGTTTTTTAATTTAATTTCCTTACAGATGAAGCTACAATCAAATGCTCATCTTGGTGTAAGTATCTTTGATTTCTATTTCAGTGCAAAGCAAGAAACGTGCATTCAGTGTGTGGGTCCGTACCAATCGAAATACTGTGGCCTGAAATTCCAGGAGACAAGCATTGACAGAGTTAATATCAGTGTATGATTTTTATTTGGACTGGTTCAGTGTTTAGGGAGAGACGAACATACTCTTCCTTAAAAACTTACAGCAACTGGGAAGTATCACAGCTAGTCACAGCCTGACATGTGAGAATCCCACTGACTGCCAAATTCGTGAGATTAACCAGATGCCAAACCATGAGAACAAGAGGAGCTACCCTAGAATGGAGCACAGTCATTCAATCCGACCAGTAACTAGCAAACTAGTAGAATCTGGGTACGCTCTGTTGCCCAGTCTCTGGGCTTGTCGTGTTGCTGTTTTAGTATCCTTCAACCCACACATTGTGTCATGAGAACATACCAGCTTGTCAATCTCCACACAGTAGTCCTGAACAGTATAGTGAAAAATGTACATACATGTTATGGGGTCCATTAATCTTTATTAAATTACCGACCACAGTTATGATCTTAGGTTTCGACAAATTAAATTAATAAAAAATACAGAGACATTTATTCACAGATAGATACAGTAAACTCCTGATAACTGGTTACTCCAAGCGCAAAGGGCTCAGTGACAAGTTATTCAGAGTGGTGAGTTTGGCATATGTATAAATACATAAATAGATGCAGCTGAAATACTGACAGCAGGTCGAGGTAACAAGTTAAGACAGGGTTGAGTTATCAGAAGTTTACACAGACAGCCATAAACATAAATATCATACTGAGTATTTATCAAAGTTTATTGCTTTGTTGGCTAATTAAAATTAAAGAGTAAATAATTGTACAATAATAACTTGCATTTATACAACGTCTTTCATGAGGATAGAGTCTCGAAGCACTTAACAGAGGTGCGGTTTGATGCTAAGCTGGAGCTTTAATGTCTATTTGAACAGGCAGAAGTGACCTCCTTTTAATGATTAAATGAAATGCTGGTAGCTCCGATAATGCAGCGTGCCCTCAAGCTTTGCCCAGACAATGAGTTCAAAGTTGCAATTAGAAGTTTCTGTTACTCTATTTTCCAAAGGCTTGCATGCATCCTGTGGTGTTTTGATCAGATATAGAGGTGCAACTATTTGTACCTCCATATCTACATAAAACATAACAATCAATTGGAACACAATGTCCTTCACACAGCCACAAAGTGAATGACCATTTTTTTTAATCTGGGGTATTGTTGGCCAAGACCCAAAGGAGAAATTCCTTTCTCTTTTTGAATACTGCCTTGAGATTTTTAATAACTACCTGAATAAGCAGATGGGACCTCTGTTTAATGATTCTTTCAAAGGATGGTAGCTCCAATAATGCAGTACACTCACAGCACTACACTGGAGTTTCAGCCCAGACTATGAGCTCAAACTCCCAATTAGAAGCTTCAGTTAGGTCTATTTTCTAATGGCTTGCATGCATCCTGCAGTATTTTGCTAAGGAATTATACCAGATGCAAGTATTCTTTTAACATTTAAAAAAGTAAATTTAATTTGGCAATGTGATAAATTTGTAGCTGGTACATCACAACAATGCAGGATCTCTCTGTTTGTACTATTACAGCTGTGTAATTTCCTCGACGATTCATGACAGCCTTGGGCTATTCCTACATAATGCATAACACAGAGCTTCCTGCCCTCTGAAAGACGATACAATTGCTCACAAAACACCAGCGGAAAGCATGCAAGCCATTGGAAAATACATCTCCAGTAGCTTCTAATTAAAAATAACATTAAATCATTTATCAGGTTGTTCCTAACATTAAACGAAAGTTATTAATGTCAGGCTTAATATTTTATTATATGTAATCACTTAACCATTCTCAATATCTTTCACACAGTCTTGGAATTGAATAGTGGTGTATAAATGAATGTTTATTTACATTTGTCCAGGAAAATGCGCAGGTGACGGGCTGCGATTATCTTTATCAGCTGAAACGAATTGTTGCTACAACTGAAACAAGCATTGTTATTTGGGACCATAAGCCAAAGAGCAAAAGCCAGGTACATTTGATAGCTTTGCTCTGTTGTTTCGCATAGAGAGTTTGTATTTTTCCTTCTGATTTTTTTTTATTCTTGCCATTATTTTCTGGCATTATTTGCTGCGGTTTCTCCTCCAGCCCCTGCACTATCACGTCTGGCATCCCCCAGGGCTCTGTCCTTGGTCCTCTCCTCTTTAATATCTACATACTTCCCCCTTGGTGACATCATCCGCAGACATGGGGTCAACTTCCACATGTATGCAGATGACACCCAACTCTATCTTTCTGCCTCCATCCTCAACTCCAGGACCAATGCTGTCCTGATAGACTGCCGGTCGGACATCAAGTCCTGGATGAGGGCAAATTTCCTACAGTTGGATGTGAACAAGACTGAGGCCCTCCTGATTGGCTCACGCCAGCGCCTCAGCACCTCAGGCTCTGGCAGCATCAACCTCCATGGTTGCACACTTCAACTCACCAAGCCAGTCAGGAACCCAGGTGTCTTGTTCGACCCTCAACTGTCTTTTCGTCCCCACATCCAAGCCATGACCCGCTCTGCCTTCACTCACTCCATAACATCGCCCGACTCCACCACTACCTCACCCCTCAGGCCGCTGAAACTCTTGTTCATGCCTTCATCACCTCCAGGCTCGATTATGAAAACACTCTGCTTGTCAGGCTTCCCAACTCCTCGCTCCACAGGCTGCAGATAATCCAGAACTCTGCAGCCCGTGTCCTCTACCGCACCAAACTCCATGACCCCAGCTCATGTCTGAAATGCTGTACACTGTCCAGTACCTTGGGACATCCTCCCGATGTGAAAGGCGCTATACAAATGTAATCTTGTTATTGTATTTTGTTATTTATTAATAGCTTTATTTTTATTTGAAGACAGTAGGCAGCTGTCTGGTCCCAGGACTCAATTAAAGCTAGTTTGTATCCTACACCTTGAAGCTGCATGATAATAGTTTGGGTAATTCAACATCCTATCATCAAATGCTGCATATCTGTCTAACTTCTCATTACTGGGAAACACAGTGTTGGTCAACTATTGTATCATCACCAGCTCTGCCCTTTATTGTGATTGGGTGGCTCAAGATTGGCTCTCAGCCTTGTTCAATGCACCAATCCCAGTGAAATTAAATGGGTCATTCGAGGACAAACCGTACTGCTCACTGTAACCTGTGTCATGGGAGCAGCTTAGCAGCTGTGGAGATGAGTCTTGAGAATGTACTGATTATGAGGATTCTTCATTACAGGTAGATAGTTAGTTAGATACCTATATGTTTTTCTACTATATCTGGGGACTACTCTGGACAGAAACTTCTCCTGCATGAACTGTATTGCCTGTTTAAAATCTAGATGGAATAACCCAAACAAATTGTCTTTGTAACATCAGCTGATTGGCAGATACTGAAAATGTGTTACGTTGACTTAATTAACTTTACATCACACTGTCATCTGAGTAATGCTGCAGATTTCATATAATCCTACTTATTTCATATCATGAAGGAAGTATATGTTGATTTGTGTCTCAAACACATACATTTCCACAGCATATTTGTGCCACTTTACTGAAGGGGGATAACTTGTCACAACTAAGATTTGAATTTGCTTTATGTAACCATTGTAACACAAATTAAATGCTACATTTCATTTTATTTTTGCCCAATTAAAAATGTGCAAAGTGATACGGATGGCCTGAAACTGATAATTTTATTTTTCAACAGGCAAATTATTTTACTCTTAGGCCAGTGCAAAACATTCCACTCTGTGTCTGCACTTTGGCTGGCACTGAAAATCTACATGAAGATGGCATTCTGATTGGTGATGATGGTGGATATGTGAGCCTGATCATCTTGGGAAGTGACGACTTCAATCCCAAAAAATCCAAAGAGACTGATGGTACACAATCCCAGATCTTGGATCCACGCTTCCTTCGTCGGTATGTACGGTTCGAGGGAGAAATCCGAAGCATAGGCTAGATCCTTTGGCACTATTTGATAAGAGAAGCACATTCCTTCTGGTATCCTGGTCAATCATTTTCCAGATAAAATTGGTCTTTCACTTCATGGCTGTTTGTAGAACACTGCTATGTGCAAATTTGCCTGCAAAATATACAGTCACTACAGTTTACAATAAATCCATGGAAGTGCTTTGAGATTTCCTCCCAGCATAACAAGCACTGTATCAAATCAAGGATCATTATATTGATTATTTATGTCAGAGATATGATAATATGTACTCACTTTGCTCTTGGTGCTTCATAATATTATGTCAGGGTGAAATTAATTCATCCTTGTGCAGCTAGACAATTATTCACTGGAAATATTGATTATTAACTGTTGAGTGATTATTAGTTATTGATATCTGTGACTTTCATGATAATTAAGAAGAAGAACTAAGGCAGAATCTTCTCCTGTTGCCTATAGATATGTGGTGATGGAGGAGGGGAGAAAGAGTGATACCCTGTGTGTTGATATTTGGAAGTCACATATTGAAAATGGCAGTCAGGATGGTTCAGTGTATAGAGCTGTAGATTACAGTCCAGGAACTCACTGATTTCAATCCTAGTCACTGTGAAAAGCATCGTATTTTTTTGTGCGTTTTTGGGGTCGGCCAGGGTTTGACACACGCGGAAACCCATCACCATGATTAAGAGCATCCAAACCAAACTGAGATTTCCATGCATTCCCACCTACACATGGAAATTCCAGAGATAGTTTGTTGAAATGGAATGCTCACTCTCTCCCTGGAGGGACACATCCTGCTCACCTAATTCCAGAAAGCATTTGGTGCAGGTTGGCAGGAGTCAAGGCTTAGGGGAGACCCCAGAGTGTGCATTGGGGTACTAACCAGCTAAAACCATATAGCTTGCCATTGATAGCAAGCTTTCCTGCTGCTTGTCCAGCTAGGACCTACTGAATATATAGAAACTTTACTCAGTAGTTGTGATGACTTTCAACCACGTTGGTACTTAATGTAATCAATTGATCTAATGACCCCTCTGAGCCTACCAAATTGACACATTATTCTGCATATATAAAATAGAAATTGATAAAAGTTTGGTATGTTCTTTGCACCTGTGAGGATTCTGTTCAACACACTGATTGTTAGGATAAATTTCGAATGAGCATTGATTGAGCCAGGTGGGAAATGAAATGATTTTGTTGTGTTTCACTGTCAGAAGACTCTAATGGCTACTGTTGCTCTGACTGTTGGAGATGAAGGAGCAGATTTTTGTTGAGCAGACTATGTGTGTGCCTTGACTCTATAGTAACTTGACAAACAATGCCAGCTAAATTCTGATCCTGTGGCGGCTGTGAGACATTGCTAGATGGAAACCGCACAGAAGCAAAACTGAGTGACTCAAAGATGAATGGATCGTGACCTGCAGTTAATATTTGTGGATTCCTTGTGATTTCTAGTTAAGATTCATTTGTGATCCACAGATATTCTTACATGCCTGAAACAACAATGAAAGAGTTGGCAAAAGAGTTGAAACTCCAATTAAGAGAGGCTAGTTATGAACACCATAGAAGGGGAAACCTTAATTCCACATAGGCTGTTCTTGCTAGCAAAAGCATGATCTCATTAGTAAATAAATATTTTAATCTGGCTGGGTAGCTCTAATACTGGAGTATAATACACTTATACAGAAGTCTTATGTCAAATGTGCACTAAATCAAATCCAGCTTCTCCAGCTATTTGTTGATTCAAGCCTCATATCAGGACTTGAGCTCTTAGCCCTGGTTGATGTGCCAGTGGAGGTCCCATTCCTTGATGGGATTAAAGCCTTTTTCAGTGTCCTGGCGAGCAATCCTCTGGACAAATCAGTTAATGCATTTTAATAGCTGTCAAACCTCACAAAATACTATCCTGTGCGACGGGCACTATATAAATACAAGTTGCTGTTTGTGGGATTCTGCTGTGTACAAGTTGGCTGCTTGTGTTTGTCTACAAATACAAAGACACTTGGAGCAGTTGACCGCAAAGCACTTTGAAACAATTCAACCTTACAAGCTCTCTCAAATTCAAGAATTATCGTTGACAATCATTGTTATCAAAGTTTAAGGTCATGTAGAATTTCTGGAAAATAAAATTCACCATCAACTTATTATTAACTCAGAAGTTAGTTTCCTATTGTTGTTGGGGAAAAAAAAGCAGGTGTGATTTTGGACCTCTGATCCAATGTAGTGTCAATTTTTGATAAACTCTTGTCATCTTCTCTTTTTTCAGCCCTATTATGCGCCGGAAGCTGCATAGTGAATGGGTTTTGAAGGTGAAGTTTTTCACACATTTGAATTGCTTTGCATCCTGTTCCTCAGACAGCATTCACTCCCTGGTCTTGGATCACATACAACGAATCGAAGATTGTCAGTGAGTCACAAGATTTTTTTCACAAAACTACTGTCGATATGACTTAATTGAGTGAAATATTATAACTATTTGATAATTATTCACAGAACAGTAATCACGATTAATTATATAAGGACTGATAATGGTTGATAAGACAGTAATGAGTTGATATTTTAATGACTATTAAAAGGCTTCTGCTATATCTGTAATTAAGTTTCCTTACTCTACACGCCTCATAATAATCCCTCAAGAAAAAAAACAATAATAAATTGGTCACTTCAATCCATGACGGTTTGTGGGACACTGCTGTGCACAATTGGCTGCCCACAAATATACAGTCAATTCACTTTACAGTATATTCTGTGAAGTGCTTTGACGTGAAAAGCGCTATATCAAATGCAAGGATTATTCTTATTATTAATCTTGAAGGAATTGGACTATCAAACTATTCACTTAAAGTTATCATAATATACTTTACTTGCTTCACTGTGACTTGGAGCATACTTATAAAGTTTCACAGTGGTACAGCAAGTAAATAGACTGCTGGTTTATACTCCACATGAGCCCCCATTTCTCTGATCCCCTCTCCTTTTCCCCTTCTATTCATGTCTCTCTCATGTATGCATCAAGTTTTCTCTTAAATACATTGATTTAATTTAGAGTCAAGCCAGTAATGTTAAGCACCTTGGGACATCCTCCCAATGTGAAATTCACTTCATAAATGTAAATTTGTATTTTATTGAAGATATTTTATTTTCTTCAACCACAGCTTCCAGCAGAGTTTGCAAAACCTGAATTTTATTGTACAAATAAATAATAGTCATCAAGTTGGCATTGAAACAATATGTTTCGCCCACAAAATATATAGTCAATCACTTTACAGTGTATTGTGCAAAGCGCTTTGAGACGTCTTGAAGATGTGAAAGGCGCTTTACAAATGTAATTTTTGTTGTTGTGATAAGGCACTAAATCAAATGCAAGGATTATTATTATTACTATAAATCGCTGAATTATTTAGAATTAAGCGAGTTGTGTACTACCAATTAGGAATTCAGAATGGATATACTGAAACTTCCATGCTGAATTTCAATCACAATTGTGATTTAAAAGTTTAACATTTATAATCTGTCCGTGCAACTAATTTTACTGTGTAGTGTCACAACAAATCCTTCTTTCTGCCCACATATTATAATATTTTCCTTGCACAAATTTATTCTAAATGGAAAATACGATTTTTTTATTTGTTGTTTCCTCCTTTATTATTTGTTGTTTCCTCGTTTATCCCAGAATCAGAATTATCCTTCTATTTTGTGTCCTGTATGATATCAGTCCAGTTATTTTAAGTTAGTTTAGCTTATTTTCAGTTATTTTTCTCCAGCTGTGTGCCTTGGTTACATTGCAGTTTCATCTCATCTGATAGTGGGAAAGCTTTCCTCAGCAGAAATGTAATTGAATGCAGGCTAGCAGGACTCATGTTTATAACAAACTAGTAAGATGAAATTCCGGTGATTGGGAGTTATTCACCCCTTACTGTTCACCTTTTTGAAGGTTAGTCGCCTACTAAATACACAGTGACTATATTTTACAGATTATCCTTTGAGACGTCCTCCCAACGTGAAAGACGTTATATCAAATGTAAGGAATATTATTATTACTGAGCAAATGAAGGACAGGGTGTCCTGCAATCTGCAAACAACTAGGTCTCTTATACAAAATATTGCAAGAGTACAATGGTTTGTGCTCCTAAATTTATTTGATTCTTGTGAATTAAAAAGAAGAGTAAATTTTCCTGTTATTTTCAGTTCTATGAGAGATTTCAGAAAAAACATATTTCTATATCACTGCCAAGCTTTGACTTTGCACCACTGCAGCTATTTGAGTAAAACCAAGCATAAAGGGAGGTGAAAAGGAAACATCCAGGAGGTTCATTGGTATAATATTTGATTTAATGCATGTCTCACTAAGTGCTCGTCTTATCAATCAAAGAGGACAAGGTGGGGCTAACCAATTAATTTAATATCCGTGACTTAGCTTGTCAGTGTCAATGTTGTCAGAGGGTGAATTAATCAAATGTTAAAGATTTTGAAGCAATTTCTAAATTTAGTAATCTTGTGTCATCTCACAGCTGATGCTTGGTACAATGTCCAGGAAAGGACAAGATGTGATGTATTCCCATAAAAAGTACCTGCAAACACTAGTCTGTTTCACAGCTCCTTCAGCGATCTGCAAAAAAGCCAATTAGTACTGAAACTTCATTATTTTTTTCAGGGTAGATAAGCTTTATATTAACTCCAGTGGCTATGCCACTCAAACTATGGACTGTCAAATCCAGAAAAGGAGGTCCATAACTGGACAGGATAGTACCAAACATCCTATTTACAGAACAACACATCTGTTACAGTTTCGTTAATATGTCTGATTTCACTTTATCAAATGTCCCCTGTTACTTTCAAACAAAACTACCACTTTTAGCTGCACCAATATGGCGATGATGAGAGAATTAGAAAAATAATTGGACACATTATATATTTTTTAAAAATGGTAATTATTCGAGGTATAAAGAGGTCTTTTTTCTTGTGGAGGAGGTTCTTGTATTATTACCAGTCCAGTGGCTGAGCCCAAGGTTTGTTAATGATGGCCATGAAGCATTGCCATGTAGTCAAATTTCCCATTTATTTAAACACTTTGGCACATATATATATATATATCCTTGCATTTGATTTAGCGCTTTTCACGTCGGGAGGATGTCCCAAAGCGCTTCACAGAACACACTGTAAAGTGAATTGACTGTATATTTGTGGGCGAACGCGGCAGCCAATTGTGCACAGCAATGTCCCACAAACAGTCGTAGATTGAAAATGACCACTTTATTAATGTTTTTGGTTTTTTGGAGGGATTATTATTAGGCGTGTGGAGTAAGGAAACTTGCCCAAGGTTTCGCCCTGCCTGGAATTGAACTCAGGTCTCTCACTTGCAAAGCGAGTGCTCTAACCACTGAGCTACAGGACTCCGACATAACATTCATTATAAAGAAGTTCCATATGTGCTTTCCAGGACAGCTGATATAAAATCATACATTTTGATGATAATTTAACTTTGGATATTTATTATGCCTCACCTTGCTTATAGTTCATAGATTCAAGAAAAGACAAAAATGAAAATATTCCTTGCAATCGATATATAGTGCCTTATCACATTGAGTCATCTCAAGGTGCTTCACAAGAAATTACAGTGATGTGTATTTGGAACTGTGACAGTGTATTTGAAGGTGAACATGGCAATCAAGTTGTGCACAGTAATGTCCTATAAATAGTCATGACGTGAATGACCAATTTTATATGGGGATTGTTTATTTGGAGGACACCAGGAGAAACTATTTTCAAACCCCATTTTTACAACAAAATCTGTTGTAAAATCTAACCTTTATTCTCTGATCAAGAATAACAATTGAATGATGAAAATACTTTTCGGGTATTTTTTTTGATGTCTTAATAGTACTGGATAACCCCATTATGATAGCCTCTGGTCGAGCTGTGTCTCACTAATACCGCAAATATATTGTGGACCTGCTCTAACCAGAAGCACAGTATACCCTGTTTCTAACTCTGACAAGATGGCTTTGCATGCCAGAAAATGACCACGTCTTGGTTGCCAGGCCACCACTAACATTCCTGTGCCCTGCACAGAAATACTGTATGCAGGAAGCAAAGTAAATTTTGTAAGTAAATCACATCAGTCACACTTCTTGCGCATGTGTCCAACTGTAGGAAGTGGCATCAACAGCCACCTGACTATCCAGCAGTCAGGCATTTTTTCGCGCTCGCTTATATTGCAGGGCCTGAGATATTATGAATACTCTGCCTGTTTGTTGTTTATATAAGTGAATTCAATAACTTTCATTTATAATCAATTTAGAAAAAATGTACTGCATGTAGATCTGAGGTTGATTGAAGGCATTTTCAAATAATATTTCAAAAAATAATCTGAAATGATTTATTCATTTGACAAAAAGGTCACCAATATTTTGGATTTCCATAACTATTTGTTCTGTAATAATACTAGCCTAGAATAAAGGAAATTATTATTTAAATACCTTGGCTTTGTAGGCAAAGCAATTTCGCATTACAGGATATTATGTGAGATTGTCTAAGACTTATAAACCTTGCTTCAATAACTGTTTGATTTCGTTTGAACAGTACAAAAGTGGGAGATGGAAACAAGGGAAAAGCAGTATAGGAAAAGCTAAATAGGTATCTACAATAGAGGTTTGAGGTCACCAAGTAGGAATTTATACTGAACTGCTTCACACAAAGTCTTGGGAGGGAATTGGACTCGAATACATAACTTTGAAATTTTGTCCATGAAAAGAAACATTGGGCTGACCCAGAAATTCACAACAGACTTTGCAAGCAGTTTGTTTTGTAATCTCATAAAATATCAGGATTAAATATCTTCAATAAATATTATCTTTGCAAATACCCCTTTGCTGATTTATAGATTCTTTAATCCAGCATTGGAGGAATCTATGTTACAGAATACTTGTACGATGACATTTATGACATTACTTCATATTTGTGAACAAGATAACCCTCTAATTTATAAGTATGGAAGTTATTGACAAATTGTAAGACATCTCAGCTTTCATTCTGGCTGTTTGTCAAGTCATCTTGTATCACATGGTTTGAATATTCTTTCTCTTAACTATTTGTTAAAATATATAGCTTGAAACATTCTGTGTGTGGTAAGCGAGTGTTAAATAGGAACCCGGTTGTTAGTTGATTAGCGGATGGCTTTTCTGGGGGGTAATAATTCTTTAAAAACAATAATAATAAAAAATTGATCGCTCAATCCCCTATTGTGGCACACTGCTGTGCACAATTGGCTGCCAATTTCGCCCACAAAATATTAGTCAAATCACTTTACACTATATTCTGTGAAGCGCTTTGAGACATCTCGAAGACGTGATAAGGCGCTATATCAAATGCAAGGGTTATTATTATTACCACTGCCAATTAGAGTTATTCACTACAACTCAATTAGTGGATTGAAGCAAAACCATATATATTGACTTTTATTTTTTTTTTGTGTTTATCTGGTTGAGAGATATCACTCTGGGTATTGAAGCACTTTCCAAATAAAATTGGTCATTCACTTAATTTCTTCTTGTGGGACATTTTTGTTTGCAAATTGCCTACCATGTTTGCTTATAAAATACACATTTACTAGACATTACAGTATATTGTTTGAAGCGCTTTTAAACATGCTCCCTACATGAAAGGCACTATATGAAAATGCAAGAATTATTGTTATTACATTATCACAGCCGGTCTTGACTTCTCCCCATCCTGTGACTGCACACAGTGGAGCATACTGAAAAGGGACAAGAAGCAAGATCCCTATCTGTTTTTATCCTCCCTAATCGAGAGAAGGCCAGGACCAATGTTATTTCCTCATGCAACTTTGCAAACTCAACATGGACTGGAAATCAAATCAGGGAACTCTGGCTCTGTATGCTGCTGCTCTGACCAATACACTACCCATGGAGCAACATTCTTACAAATTACATTGTGTATTGCGTTTTAATAGATGCTATGGCACATGTTATATGATTGATGTGATTTTAATGTGCAATTTCAGGGCTATCCGAACACTTGCAGTTCCACGAGGTATCAATACATTTGCTTATTGTGTGAAAGCAAATTCCCTTGCCACTGGGGGTAAGTATCAATTCTGAGTTCTTCAGCATCTTGTCTTAAAATATCTCTTCTGCCAAACCGATGGCATGTTAGTTGTTTCAACATTAAATATGGCTTGAGAAATATTTGAACCAACTGAGTTCACATCCATTATTGTTTCAACTGTGTATCAGGGCAGATGGAGGAACAGCTTGTGTCATATTTAAGTCACCGAAGACCAGGATTATTGGGTTGACAAATGCTGCTGAACTACAGCAAACAATTTGAAATTTAGACAGGGATTGTCAGAAAAGTCCTTTTAGTTTGATTGATACAGTGCATTATAACATGTTTTATTATAGAATGAATTTGGTTACAACTCATTCACACTATGGCACACAGCCGACCCATTTGTTACCACAGCTTTCACTCTAAAATGTTTGAGGTTGGCAAGTGTAGTACTTTGGTACTGATCCCTAGAGACTACATGCTAATTTAGCTAGTTATTAGCAACTGAAATTGTTGAATTGCAAATTATATAAGAAAATGTAAATAAGACTCTATGCCTCCAGCCTATATAAATTCTGGAACTTGGAGGCTTGGTCTCAAGAATATTATTTAGGATTTTTGTTCATTTTGTTTTTCCAATTTAACTTGATTTGTATCGAAAAGAAACACTGCTATGTCTCCAATCTAGGCTGTGATAAAATTATTCGGCTTTGGAATCCTAACATATTCAGCAAACCAAAGGCAATGCTACTTGGCCACCAGTGCATCATTACAGAGATAGCAGTCAACGAAATTGATCAACATATCATCAGCCTTTCAACTGAAGGGGTGAGTGGCTGCTTTTCAACCTAGGATTCATTTTATAAGATTGGATGTTACCAATAATGCAATTTCAATCAGCAACGGCGTAATTACAGTGGCAGTATCAGTAATGCATTAAGTTTGATATCTTGCACATCCCTTTCAGTTTGAGTCAGTTATTCAAATGCGAGAAATACTGGGATTTAGTGTTTTTGTTTAAATATTCACTCCTTTTCTCAAGCTGTTTCTCAGAACTATGCATGTAACAAAGGAATGAAAAAATGTTTTTATTTAAATAGCAATCAAGTAAAAAACAGTTATAAAACACTGGTTAGGCCTCACCTAGAATACTGTGTTCAGTTCTGGGCACCACACTTCAGGAAGTTTGTGAAGGCATTGAGAGGGTGCAAATAATAATAATAATAATAATAATAATAATAATCCTTGCATTTGATATAGCGCTTTTCACGTCGGGAGGACATCCCAAAGCGCTTCACAGAACACACTGTAAAGTGAATTGACTGTATATTTGTGGGCGAACGCGGCAGCCAATTGCGCACAGCAATGTCCCACAAACAGTCGTAGATTGAAAATGACCAATTTTTTTTTATTATTGTTTTTTGGTTTTTTTGGAGGGATTATTATTATCTTGTTGATACTCGTCAACAAGGTGATGTCTCACCACTGTAATCATAGACAGACTGCAGACATGGTTGGGAAGAGAGACTGCAGACATGGATGCAGTGGGCATGGAGAGAAGGAATAACATGACCAAATCCAGTGGCAGCCGGTTTCATAGCCAAGACCAATAATTTATATTTTGAAATAGACTGAGAACAGGAGAACTGTCTGCAATTGTTGTAGGCCTAGAAGCTTTCTTGCTTAAAAGCAGATATTTGAAAAGGTTAATGATGTCCTTTGAGAACACAGACTTCAGATGAAGTGCACATATACATACCAAATGTTGCACACATCAGTTTTGAACCCTGCACCTGCTTGATTTGGATACAGTGACAGCTGACTTGAGCCCAGGTCCCATCACTGCATAGAGGCTGGGACGGGGGGAGGAGGATTACACCTCCATTTGCGACTCTGCTGTACCAGTGCAGTCACCACCATGGTCAAAAAATGGCAAAGAGGACAGATTGCTGGCTGCCAGACCCACTTGTTGAATAAACAGAAGCTTCCATCTGTCCCAGAGCACAAGACTCTGACACCTCCTCCTGTGGTATCTTTCATAACTTCCTTCTGCAACAGTTCATGAAATGGCAGGTTAAGACCAGGTGAGATGGTCCACAGCACGTCCCTGATCCTTTTGCTTCCTCTTCACAGACTTCCCTTAATGGGCAAAGGTGCCTGGGAATTAGTTTGTCATGTGTGTGGCTTGTGTTCAACCGAGCTTCCAAAGAAAGCTCTGGGGCTCCAGACACTGCCAAATCCCTGAGGACCCCAGAGAAATGTTCATAGTGGCAGAGGGTCAGCTCGGTGTAGGTGGAGCTGGTCAGCGGCACCTGGAGGGATGGCAGGGTGATGTGAGTGGATGGCTGCAGGATGAGGGGGGAGTTGAGTGACAGGGGAATGGGCACCAGATACGAGTCAGTACGAGGCAGCAACGGCTTCATCTTCCGAAACCCAACTTCTGTGCTCCCGGCCCCAGGGTTCTTCAGCAGATCGTTGCTCCCAGTTCGCTTTTGCTGCTTCACCACCTGATCAAGGGTCAGGAAGCGGTTGGCCTCGGCCCGGATGGTCCAATGGGATATCTTGCCATTGTGAGAGGTCTGGCGGATGAACATGTCGTGCAGGGACAGGTTGTGACGGATGGAGTTCTTCCAGCCAGGCTTGGCCACATGTTTGAAGTACGGGAAGTGATCTTCAATCCAGGTGTAGATTTCTTTCAGCGTCATTCTTTTGCTCTGGGTGCTGTTTATTGCAAACTGGATCATGGCCATGTAGGAGTAAGGGGGTCTCTCATGGACGGACTCCACAGAGCTGCTTTCTGCTGGTGGTTCCTGGTTCTCCTTCTCCACCTCCTCCTTCACACTGCATGCACCCAGGCTGTCAGTGCTCATCTTACCCAGCCACTGGATGTTGGTCAGGCTGTCATCAAGGGTTACAACAACAACAACAACAAGATTCTATTTATAGAGCGCCTTTCACGTCGGGAGGATGTCCCAAAGCGCTGTACAGTTGGGTCAGGACCCGAGCAGGGGGTAAATGGTCAGGGCGAGGGGAGGGAAGGGAGGGAGCGAGGAGGGGGTAGAGAGTCGAGAGGGGAGCTGAAGGCACGGTCAAAGAGAAAGGTCTTGAGACCGGCCTTGAAGGAGGAAAGGGAGGAAGCGGCGAAGGCACTGGAGGATAGAGTTCCAGAGCCTCGGGGCTGAGAGGCTGAAGGCCCGACCACCGATGGTAGGGAGGTTGGGGCGGGGGATGTGGAGGAGACCGGAGTCAGAGGAACAGAGGGTACGGGCAGGTAAGTAGGGGGATAGTAGGTCAGAGAGGTAGGAGGGAGCGAGGCCGTGAATGGCCTTGTAGGTGAGGATGAGGATCTTGAATTCGATCCTCTGGGGGATGGGGAGCCAGTGGAGCAAGTTACCAGGATGGTACCAGGAATGAGGGACTTCAGTTATCAGGAGAGGCTGGAGAAGCTAGGATTATTCTCCTTGGAGCAGAGAAGGTTAAGAGGAGACATAATAGAAGTTTTTAAAATTATGAGGGGATTCAATAGCGTGAACAAGGAAAAACTATTTCCACTGGCGAGTGGGTCGGTAATCCAAGGGCACCAATTTTAAAATAGTTGCTGAAAGAAACAGAGGGGAGGTGAGGAGAACTTTTTTCAGACAGCCAGTTGCTTGAATCTGGAATGCATTGCCTGAAAGGGTGGTGGAAGCCAATTCAATAACAACTTTTAAGAGAGAAGTAGATAATTGTTCGGTGAGGACAAATTTGCAGGGCTATGGGGAGAGAGTGGCCGAGTGGGATTGATTTGGATAGCTTTTTTCAAAGAGCCGACACAGACATGATGGGCTGAATGGCCTCCTTCTGTGCTGTATAATTCTATGATTCTAAGTAATGCACAAGGATCGTGGAGTCCTGTAGCTCAGTGGTTAGAGCACTCGCTTTGCAAGTGAGAGACCTGAGTTCAATTCCAGGCAGGGCGAAACCTTGGGCAAGTTTCCTTACTCCACACGCCTAATAATAATCCCTCCAAAACAAAAAAACAATAATAAATAGGTCATTTTCAATCTACGACTGTTTGTGGGACATTGCTGTGCGCAATTGGCTGCCGCGTTCGCCCACAAATATACAGTCAATTCACTTTACAGTCTATTCTGTGAAGCGCTTTGGGACGTCCTCCCGACGTGAAAAGCGCTATATCAAATGCAAGGATTATTATTATTATTATCCTAGTGGAGTCCTGTAGTTCAGTGGTTAGAGACCTGAGTTCAATTCCAGGCAGAGGGCGAAACCTTGGGCAAGTTTCCTTACTCCACACGCCTAATGATAATCCCTCCAAAAAAACAAAACAATAATAAATTGGTCATTTTCAATCCATGATTGTTTGTGGGACATTGCTGTGCGCAATTGGCTGCCGCGTTCGCCCACAAATATACAGTCAATTCACTTTACAGTGTGTTCTGTGAAGCGCTTTGGGACGTCCTCCCGACGTGAGAAGCGCTATATCAAATGCAAGGATTATTATTATTATTATCTATTTGATTATTGTCATTCTCACAGTGTTTCCAGTTAATGTGAGGCTGGTATCAACAAAGATGTAATAATTATGTATGATAATGCATCTTGAGAAAAGTTGCTTTAGGTATCAGCCCTTGAGACAGAAGGTTGTGGGTTCAAGCTCCATGTCAGGTCTCTGAGCTCACAGTCTAGCCTAACACTCCAATGCAGTGTTGGGGGAGTGCTGATTTGTTATAGGTGCTCTCCTTTAGATGAGGCATTAAAACAAGTTCCCATCTGTCTGTTCATGTAAACATTAAAGATCCATGGCACTATCTGAAAAGAGAAGGGAGTTTATCAAAGTGTTCCAGGCCAACAGTCTCCAGATAAAATTACTCATTCATTTCACTTGCTGTTTCTGGGATATTGACTCGTGCAAATTGACACCTGCATTTGCTAATTACAAAATACAGTCACTACACTTTTCAGTAAAATCTTCTAAAGCACTTTGACATCTTCCTGACATGAAATGCACTACATCAAGTATAAGGATTTTAATTATTTAAATTAATTTGTTGAATTACAGCTTCCAGCAGACATTATTGAAATTCTATGCACTCTTTCTTTGAAAGGACATAGTTGCAATAGAGTTCAGAGAAGAACAAAAGATGATTGTTGACTTCAAAGGGGCACAGTGCTCTAAATGGATCCATTCCAACCGTATCTTCCCTACAACAGCTATCAGAGTGCGTTGCACGTGCATGTTAATGTGGCGGTCAAATTAATTTGCAGTATCTGCATTTATAGCGCATTGCGAATCAGTAATTATAATAATAATCCTAATATTGCTTGCATTTGATATTGCACCATTTACATCAGGAGGATGTCTCAAAGATGGATATATTGTAAAGTTTATTGACTCGACATTTTGTAGGCAAACAACTTGGTGAAGCCAACTCTCTCTTAAGATGGTCGTAGCTGTTGGCTTCAGGGAGAATTTCTGTGCGATCACATGAGGCACGAGACGGTCATTGTTTGTGGAGCATTGTCCATATACTCTTATCAATTGCTTCCCCCACTGCAAAAGGCACCAAGCTATACGTTCATTTCAGTGAAGCAAATGACATGTAACCTCTGAAATACTTACTCTGCAGATTGCAGTTTAGAATAAAAAAAACTTTCATCTCAAAGTCAAATAAATTTCCAACACTCAGTTTCTCTAGCAATACATCACTCTGTACAGCAATTTATTTGCGTTTCTCCAGGGTGAGAGCATTCAAACAAACATCTCTGGAATTTCCATGTGTAGGTGGGATGCATGGAATTCTCAGCTTGATTTGGATACTCTTAAACTT